TTATTAGAATTCATTTTATCCTCATAAATGAGCAATCTTAACCTCAAAAACATTTTTTATCTTTTGTTTCGTACTTGTAAATCGTGTTAGTTGCAATTTTTTTTTATCGTAGAACAACGAAGAGGGTTCCCAGATTGAGAGAGTACGCCACTGGTGGGCGAGGAATGTGCGGACGGTGATTCTGGTTTTTCTTGCCCAGTTATGCCAAGAGAGAAATGATTCTTTATACCCTTTGTACTTTATTTTTGGGCCACGGAATGGTAAACACCTTGCTCACAGAGGCGCCGCCCGTTCTCTTCCTTCAATAACCTTTCCCTACAACCTTCTCTAAGTTTTACCTGCTTCTGACATTTTGGATTTTATCGAACTGAAAATTTCCTTAGAATGGGGATGATTTGAAAAAAGCAAGACGAAAATCCATGGCAACGGCAACGAAACGATGAAACGGTGAAACTGTTACGGTACTAAAAAGAGAAAAAGAGACAAACATATGAACATCTATAGGATTTAGCCTAAGAGAGAATGAGATAGAAGACAGTATGCATTTGTTTCTTATTATCTCTGTCTCCTCTTTATGCGGTGCTTCGTAATCCCCACTCCTGGCTACTAAGTATTGTAAATGTGTGTGCTTGTGTGCAACTGCATACTACGAAACGTAGACTCATATTAACTCAATTTCACACATTTAAAAATATAAGTTAGTTCTTAAACTGGCCGCTAGATTATCCACGTTTCTCACAAGCAAAGCTGTTTTTATTTTACTCGTGTGTGTATTGGTAATCAGATGTTAACGATCCTCCCTTTGTATACGTGTAAGTGTGTGTTTGTTATTCCAAATGTAAAATACATCGAAACGAAAGAGATTATTTCGTGTGAGGGACGAGAACGGTTGGTTTGGTTTGGTTGGTCTGTTGGTCCTCTTCCTGTTCGATAAATCTTCTCTTCTCAAAGGAAAAGAGAAAGAGAAACTCGGAAATCATCCTTGGGAATCGAATCTCGACCTACCAAAGGACGAGGAGGAGAAGGACGAGCAGAAGGAGGACTGGACTTCTCTTTTTTTTTTCATCTGCACTGTGTTCAAACACGCATCGTTACTACCTGCCTTCCGAGAAGAAACACAACCCTCCACCCTCCTCTTCGTTTAATTTCGTTTTGCAATATGAGTTGTAACTCTGAAAAAAAAAAGTGAACTAATTGAATTGTAATACAACGCCATCTATTGAAAATTTACAGAACCTAAAGGCTTAAATAAAATGTTGATTTAATATAATTCTAAATTAATTATAATAACACACAAAATAATACCACAATTACAATTAAATAAATAAAATAGAAAGAGTAAGGTTATGTCTGTTTGTTATAGCAAAAAAACAAAACAAAACCGATGTTCATATGTTAATAAAATTCGGTGAAAGTTCATCAACGAGACATTTTTTTAAATTTAAATTTTATTTTTTTAGGTTATAATATTATAATAATATAATAATATACTTTCTTTCGTAAGATCATTTCTCTTTCTCTTTATCTGGTTTTATATTTTTTTTAATCGTTACACTCTGTGAGTACCACCTGTCGTACTCTCTCAGTACCACCGATTCCACAGGTGACATCTGGAAAATGAGCGAATGTTAAGCACAGAAGGCAGGCAGCGTGAAAATGAAACGTAGGACAAGGGTGGAAATATTGTTGTTATTTTACGTACCACGCGGATCCGGCATGTGTAATTAGAAACGTAATTATGGTCGCCGGTAATTTAACCCGATTATCATTTCGTGATATCTTCAGGTAGGATCGATTCGTCGTTTATTATGAGTATAATAATATGCGTCATTATCATTTACAAAAAGAGACTACCATCGAAAGTAGAAAGCTGACGCAATTACCAGCGCCATCTTTGTACAAAATTAAGGAATATTTTGTTTTATTATTTGTTCATAATATTCGTAAATGTTTGTACATATAAATTATTTAATTATTATTTGATTTATTTAATTATTTATGATCGGATTAATGAAATCAGTGATTTGCAGTTTTAACTTTCGTTTTACTGAAAGAAAATTGGCGCCAAAATTGAAAGAAAATTGGCACCAAAATCACTCGCCATCTTTGAAGGACATCAACGAACTATTTGTTTTATTATTATTTAATTTATTAATTAATTTATGATCGAAATAATCAAAAAAAGTAATTTAAAGTATTAATTTTCACTTTAGCGAAAGAAAATTGGCGCCAAAACAAAGATTGGCGCCAAAATTGAAAGAAAATTGGCGCCAAAATCACTCGCCATCTTTGAAAGAAATCAATAAACTATTTGTTTTATTATTCGCGTGTAATTTTCTATTCATAATTTTTGTAAACGTGTTTGCACACATATAAATATTTAATTTATTTAATAATTTATGAGAAGAATAATGAAAAAAATAATGTAAACTTTTAACTTCCGTTTTAAAGGGAGAGTTAAGTTTCTCCCACGATCCTTTTCATCATCCACAGTGATTTCCGTTTTGCACAAGGAAGAAAGGTCGCAAACAGGGATGGTAAAAAGTGAGAGTGAGAGTGAGAAAGAGGGAGAATAATGTGCGAAGTAATTTTTTTTTTTCTTTTTTTTTTTTTTTGAGAAACGGGATATGAGAAGGCAGGTGTGAGTTGGGCGAATACTGTCACATAAATAGGTTCCAGAAAGGGTGACGGGGTTATGCGATAACAGTAATAATACCTATAGAAAGGGTACACCTAAACTAAAATAGGTATGAGTAGTCTATGCAAGAGTACAATAATAAATTTTGTGAACCTTTTTTTTATTAAATTCCACCCCTTTCTGCACTTTCATCTTGGGAACATTTATTTGGTTATTATATTTACAGAAATGGGTTTCAATCCAAATCAAATATTTTTTCAGGTCATTCAAAATCAAAATCAAAATTATTTTTATTATTTTTCTCAAACCTTTTAATTTATCAAATTATAAAACCCTGAAGCAACTCTGACGCAACCCAATTTGTTCTTAAAAATATCAAATGAAAAATAGAAAAATTAATTTGAAATAAATGGTAGAATATTATTTATAATAATTTTGTGTTAATGCGTGTGTGTGTGTGTGTGTGTGTGTGGGTGTGTGTGTAGTTGTGGTTGTTTTTCTTTACATATTAAAAAACCTCGTGAGTAAAATTGATAGTAAAAATGAAGTCGCGTACAACTCATGCTTCTTTGTTTCATTCACCGGTTACGACGAGTTGCGTTACGTTTCTCGTACTACGCATTTATTCACATACACACTCGCATACTAACACACATGAGGAAACGAGCACGCATGCGCACTCGAGCGCGAAACCCCGACGACCAAGGATGACGATGATGGTCCCGATTAAAATGCAAAAGGAAAAAAAAAATGAAAGAGAAACTTTTACTACACCAAGTAGTGTTGTTGTTTCCCCCACTACTTTTCTTTCAATGTCTCATACAATTTTTTTTTAAATAAAAAACAGTTATTGCATTGACTCATACCGTTGACTTATACTATTTGATAATTGATTTGAAAAATCATCGTAAATTATTAACAATATTTTATTATATTAAAATTAATTTAAAATTTGTTAAAAATTAAATTATTTATATATTTAAAATATAATAAATTAATAATTATTTTATATATTTTTTAATTAGAGAATTTGGTTGCTTAAAAATTTTAATTTTTAAAGATGGAAAACTTATTTTTTGAAATTAATTGATTTTTTTCAGGTTAGGCTCAAAACTTTCCAACAAACCAGCGTATAATATTTATTTAAATAATCGCAAATTGATAGAAATTGTTTATACAAGGATTAGTTGTTTAAAAATTTAAATTTTCAAAAATATAAAATTTATTTTTTGAAATAAATTGATTTTTTTCAGGTTAAGCTTAAAACTTTTCAACCCAACCATGTATATTAAGATATAATATTTATTTAAATAATTGTAAATGAATAGAAAACTTTTCTACGATGATTAATTGTTTAAAAATTTAAACTTTTAATAAATAAAAAATATATTGTTTAAATAAATAATATTTCTATGGGTTAGGCTCAAAACTTTTCAACCCAACCACGTATAAGACATTGAAACATTAGTTACAAAACGATTTCATTTAATTTAAAATGAAATTCAAATGAGATGATTATTTTAAAAGGAAGGTCACAACGTGACGAGGTCGTATCGCGTATTGAACGTAAAAAAAAAAAAATAAAAGAAAGATGAATTATGACGTCATTGACACGTGTATTTTTTTTTTTGACACAAATTCGTGTATAGAAAATAGACATAAATATTCAAATGAACGAACAAAATGTAAAGTATAAAAACTGAATTTAATTGCAATTTCATCGTGGTGTTTACGATAATTATAAAAACGTGAAATAAAAAAAATAAAAAACAAGAAAGAAAGAAAGACTGAAAATGATGACTAAAGAGTTAATGTTCAAGGACACTACGTAGTACTAACGTAGTACTCGAAGTCTCGTGTAATTTCACGCTTGAGGTACGACATAGTACTACGGTACTACTTACTATACTACGAGAAACTTACGCGAACGGATGTGCCGTATCCGTGCCGTATCCGTCCCGTATCCGTCCGCGTGTTCGTGCCTATTAACCGAGGAAGATCGTAACTTTCAAGAATATACATTTTCGATAGCCATCTATTCTCAAGAATCATTTCTTCAAACATTCCCATCAAAAATCCCCCCTAACCTCCATTTATAGTATTAATCAAAACAACAACTTATTATTTGAATCGTACTGTTCAATTTACTTTCTTTAACCTTACATTTTTATTCGTTAAAAATATTTATAAAAATAATCAAATATTAAAATATAATAATAATTAATTGTGGAACACCCTTCCCCCTCTACTTTATTCACACATACACACGTAAAGAAAATGGGTAAATGGGATTGATGCAAATTTTTCCATTTTATTAAATTTAATTTTATTTAATTTAAATTTTTTATTTCTTTTTTTGCAGAGGTGGGAACAGCTAGTGGTTTCAAAATTAAAGTGGGAACTATCAGCAGTGACGCCTAGTGACTTTCTGGTACACATTCTTACCAGATTACGTCTACCATATAAATGGGATAGCGTGATGGTCATGAGGCATGCACAAACCTTCATATCCTTAAGTGCGAGAGGTAAATATATTTATTAATTATTATAATTTATAATAATTTTAGGGTGAACCAAATGTTCGTATATTTCTTAATATTAATATTTCGATAAAATAAATTTTTACAAAAAACAATCCAGTATACAGTTTATTACACAATTTATAATACAATAAACCTTCGAACTTTTCATTCACCCTAATAATAATAATAATAATGATCAACTATAGTTAAAATGTGTGAAATATTTGTCCAATTTGAAATCTATTGACGTTTATCTATCGTCATAATTTTATATTGATGATTTTAGGTTATGATTTGATTTTATAACTAGGTTATAATTGGTTTCGATAAATATGCAACAAAATTCTTCAATATTTTACGAGAAACCCTGATGCAACCCTTATCTGTCTTGTCATAATTTTATATTCATGATTTTAGGTTATATTTATTTTATAACTAAGTTATAATTGGTTAGGTTATAATTGGTTTCCATAAATATGCAACAAAATTCTTCAATATTTAACGAGAAACCCTGATGCAACCCTTATCTGTTGATATTATTTTATATTGACGATTCTAGGTTATAATTGGTTAGGTTATAATTGGTTTCGATAAATTGCAACAAAATTCTTCAATATTTTACGAGAAACCTTGATGCAACCCTTATCTGTTGATATTATTTTATATTGACGATTCTAGGTTATAATTTGGTTATAACTAGGTTATAATTGGTTAGGTTATTATTCGATTATAACTAGGCTCTAATTGGTTTTGATAAATATGCAACAAAATTCTTCAATATTTTACAAAATTATTAATTAATTATTTTTTAAAATAATATATTACAAATATAATATTAATTATTAATAAAATTACTTAACATCGACATATATTTTCTTCTTATCACTTCCCACGTGACTTACGACGTAAGTCAGGTTAAGAATTATAATTCGTCATTAATATATTTGTAATATATTATTTCAAAATAAAATTATTGATATCAACGATATATATTTTTGTCTTGTCACTTCTCACGTGACTTACGACGTAAGTCAAGTTAAGAATTATAATTCATCATTGAAACAATTAAATTAATCAATATCTGAAAGAAATTAATAATGTAAAAAAACATGTTCAATTATTTGGAATAATATTATAATACTGAAAATAATTAAGAAACTTTTTTTTTTTTTATTGTCTTTCGACAAAATATATTATTAAAGTTTTTCATTGATCGGTAAAATCGTGACGCACGATGAACAACAAAGGAATTTTATCATTATCGTTAAACACACTCATCCTTTCTCTCTCTTGGTAAACGAACGCACACCGTCAGACATTTTGATCGTGAGAAAGGAGAAGGTAACGATCGTAGGAAATTCATTTAAAGGACGTTAAAGGTCCGATCACGTCGAGGGATGAACGCCGAGTTACGTCCGTGGAATTCGTCGTGGAATTTTTTTTTTCTTTTTTTTTTTTTAATTCGACTTTTTTTTGTACCTTCTTACCTTCATACTCCTCCCTTCTGGGTCCCACTTCGTCCCTCGTCGCGATTCTTAGACCCCCCTCCCTCATTCCAGGGGTGGGATGGAGGGATCCCACCTCACCTTATCTCGCCCTCTTCGTCACCTGTAATTCGCCGTCCCTTCGAAGGAGAGACCTCTATAAAACGATCGATCGTATTGCTTCCACGTATTAGGAAAACATCAGGGGATTTTACTTCTCAACGACTACAGTTTCTCTTGAACCCTTTTTTCTTCTTCTTCTTCTTCTAATTTATTTTTTTTTTTTTTAATTTTTTTTTTTTTAATTTTTTTTTTTTTGCTTATTCTTTGGCATACCAAAAAAGAAAACTTGTATTTGAAGTAATTGTTGATAGGAAATATATTTGTAAGGTTTTTATGGTGATCTAAAATTAATTTTATTAACACTAAATATACCAGACCAGTCATTTTGACTAGTGGGGCCATTTTTAATTCAAAATGTCTACTTCATGTAACATTAGAGTTTTGTAAATAATTAAGCGTTTTGTTATTTAAAAATATCTATAAATTCATTTATCTATTAAAATTATTATTGTTAAATATTTTTTGTTATTTTTTTAAGAGTAAACAAAGACTGGAAGCGAAGCTCAAAAAGCATTTTTTTTATACATCCAGTCATTTTGACTAGTGTGGTAGAAATAGGTATACTGAAAATGGTGGTATATCTAGTGTTAATTAATTTTCATTCTGTTTTGTATAATAATTATTATTTTTAATATAATAATTTGATATATAATAGTAATTATAGGTAAAAAATGGTATATATAGGATTTTTATGGTGATCTAACCTAAAACAAATTTCATTTATTACTTTTAATACTATTTTCTGTATTAATTATTATTTTCATTATAACAATAGTACATATACAAAATAATTGTAGTTAGAAAATGTTATATATAGGATTTTTATGCTGACCTAACCTAAAACAAATTTCATACATTACTTCTAATATTATTTCCTGTATTAATTATTATTTCCATTATTATAATAATATACAAAGTAATTGTAGATAGCAAATGTTATATATAGAATTATTATGCTGACCTAACCTAAAACAAACTTCATTCATAACTTTTAAATACTATTTTAATTAGTATTTGCATTATTGATCAATTGTGTCATTACTTCATACATGCATTTAAAATACTACACCCTAATTTAAATAAAAATATAGGTAACCAAATTATAATAATCAAAATACGAACCTAACCTATCAATATAATCCATACAATATCTCTCTTACAATATAAAACCAAAACCAAAAACCAAAAACAAAAAGAAAAACAAAGAATTATAGGAATCCCGTTGTTCTCGCGAAAAGGAAATCGATGGATCAGATCCAGGGAGAATCAGAGAAGATCTTTAAATGCCTGAACGTGTCTCATGAACTCGTTTCATCTCTCTCTCTCTCTCTCTCTCTCTCCTCTTTCAGTCTTTCATTCTTATTGGATGCCAATAGAGGAACGTGTAGCAGGCAACAGGAAAGTACACAGGATTCAACACACACACACACAAATACACTCACTCACACATATACAAATACACTCACTCACACATATACAAATACACTGACTCACTCACTCACACAAAAATACACTCTCTCACACTCAGATACATTCACTCATACGAAAATACACTCATACACATAGATACATACATCACACATACTATACTACACACAAAAATACATACATCACACATACTACACATACATAAAAATACATGCATCATATTTACTGTACATACTATACATGCATTACAGATACAAGAAATACATAGATATATAGATTACATGAACTGATACACAGACACATTGATGTTGGGAGTATGAGAAGGGGTTGGTCCCTGGGTTAGCCGGTTGTTATTACAGAGGCTCTCTGGTAGCAAAGAGAGCTCACGCAAAAAGGTAGGACCTTCGTCCTTCGTCCTTGTCTGGCCGGTTGGTCCAGTCGAAGCGCGTGGCCGAAGCCGTTCGTTCGAACGTTGTTTCAAAGAGAAGACGCGTTCAAAGATACCACGTTTAAACCGAGAGCAAAAGCTTACTCTACACACACGCGTCTACACCGCGTGTCCCTGACGGGAAAAGGAACACGAACGACAACTACGACAACCAAGACGACGACGTGTTGTCCACTTCGTCGAGTTCGAGGCCTTTCGTTTCTCACGAACCAAACTAGGTAGTCGTAAATAAGAGAAAGAGAGTACACCTATATAAAAAAAAAGAAATGAAAAGAAAAAGAAAGAGAAGGATATTCTTTCTTGGTCCAGAAAAACGAGTATGAACCTTTCTTCCCCTCCTTCTATCTACCCCCCCCCTTTCCTCTTTTTTTATTGGTTCTATCTCTAACTTAAGTGTTTCTTTATTATTCTCTTTTCATTTCTAATTCTTTTATTTCTTTTATTTTATTTTTTTTTGGCCCTGTAATGTAATTGCAAGACCACGTTTCAAATTTTTATACAGTAGTGTATATATATATATAGGTGAAATTTGACCTATATTTAATAACAAAAATATGGAATACAAAATTAGAAATAAAAGTTTACATTTAGTTAGGATTACTATAATATTTATTATATTTATTATATTTTTTTTTCATACTTTTTTTTATACAGTAAAAAAATATATAAAAAGTAAGGTTAGTTATGTCATATGTAAATTTGAAAAAATATCGAAATAATGGAATTGTGATACAGTGTCATCTATTGAAAAGTTACAGAACCTAGAAGCTTTGATAAAATATTGATTTACTATGATTCTAAATTATTATAGTAAATTATAACAACGCACAAAATAATACCACGAAAAAATATAAAAAGTTAGGTTAGTTGAGATGTTATGTGTAAACCTAAAAAAAACCTGAAAAAATTGAATTACAATATGGCACTATTCATCAAAAACTTACAGAACTTAGAAACTTAGATAAAATATTGATTTAATATAATTCTAACCTATTATAATAAATTATAACACACAAAATAATATCACAATTACAATAAAATACATAAAATAATAATACAGTGAAAAAATATATACAAAGTACGGTTAGTTTATGTCATATGAAAACCTAAAAAAAAACCTGAAAAATTATTGAATCACAATACTGCGCTATCTGTTGAATATTTAAAGAACCTAGAGTCTTAGATAACTTATCAATAACAAATCTTTATAAAATACAAAATAAGAATGACAAAAAAAGTTAGAAATAGGATGATAGACAAATAGAGAATAGATTAAACTTTAGAAATAAAAATAAAGATGATTGTATGTCAAGAAAAACAGGAAAGAGGGGAGGGGGAAGAATCAAAGGACAGGAGTGGACTCATTCTTGTTGCTTCGAGGCAAGTAAGGTTAACCAAAGTGGTATGGAGGGATGTTAAGAGTATCTATCTGTCTGTCTCACTTTCTCTTATTCTTTTCTTTCTTTCTTTCTTTCTTTCTCTTCTTTCTTATGCAAAGCTGACCACACACAGTGCATCTTGGTGCAAGCCGTGAGAGACCATGTACCCAAGAAAGAAAGATCTTTGAACAAGTTATGATTATTTTACTAATATTCTCTAACAATTCAATACACAATTCACATACACACACACAAACAGACAGACAGACTCACACGTGACAATATTATTTCTTAAATATATTTTTTTGTAATTACATAAACATTTATATAAGATTTCATTCAATTTTTGTCTACTTTTCTTACATACAAACACACACATACACATTTGTAATGAAATATTACATATAATGATATATTCAATGTTTTTATTATAGTTTTCTTTCATACACACACACACACACACAAACACATATATACATATATACACATTTGTAATGAGATATTGCATAGGATGATATTTTAAAAATTAATTATTTCTATAATATATTGTTATTATAAAATATATTTTATATAAATAAAATAAATATAATAAAATATATATTTTATTTATAAAATATTATTAATATTTAATAAATAAATAATGAAATATAACACAAACACACACAGACAATAGTTAGATAATAATAAACTATGTTTATAAAGGATTTTCCAATGAATAATTGGTTAAGTGAGAAATGCCTTAAAGTAATAGTTGTTCGTGATGAGTTGTTACACAACGTGATTAGTCGGATCATTTATCTAATTGCATCAATGCACGTTGTTTGTGCTCCCTCGGAATAGCCGGAGTAAACGATTTACTTTCAAGGTCGATCGGGATTCAAACTGTGAACAAAACGAGAAGAACGAAGACACTGCATTCTCATTCCTCTTTCTATCCTTTATCATAGTTTCTCTCTTTTTTTTATAATTTTTTTTTTTTACAATTCATTCAAGATGATTATTGATAAAAATGTAATAAACATTTCACATTTTACGAGTTAACACAACTTCTTCTTCTCCTTGTCTCGTAATAATTTTCTATCACTTTCTTCACATACATGTACAAACGCATATTCTGATTTTAAATGTGTCTTTCTATCTTTGTTTATTTGTTTAATTCGTGGTAAGTTCGATCGTTTGATTCGTCGCAACATCGATGCATTCCTTCCTTATCTTTTGCTTCAACCTGATCGGTGAGTCTTGGTTGCTTGCTTGCTTGCTTGGTTGCTTGCTTGGTTGAGCCCTCGTTAAGCTAATTCTACGGTAAAATGTTGTTTGAGTTCAGTTTTTAACAACGAGGAAGAAACTTTAAACGAGTCTTGTAATACTTCGTTATAAAATATATATTAAATCAAGAAACGGAATGCTATAAAACCGGGGTTTGATATAACATGATTTATAAATTGCAAAAAACTTTCTACAATATTTTGTACAAAACTTTGTACAAAACTTTGTACTTTTATAATATTAGATAATATATGATTTTATTTAATATATTTACAAAACTAAGTTATTTTAAAATTATGAAGCAATGGTGTAATTAATTTTAGATTTCATATGACACAACAATTTTTAAATTTCTAAACTATTTAATAAATTATAACAACACACAAAAGTAATACCAAAATTATAATTAAATATAAAAAAAAATAATACCACGAAAAAATATCAAAATAATTGAATTCTAATACACTGCCATCTATTGAAAACTAATAGAACGTAAAAACTTCGATAAAATGTTGATTTAATATAATTCTAAACTATTATAGTAAATTATAACAACACACAAAATAATATCACGATAAAATATAAACAGTAAAGTTAGTTACGTCATGTGAAAACCTAAAAAAATATCGAAATAATTGAATCGTAATACATCGCCATCTATTGAAAGCTTACAGAACTTAGTTACTTAGATAAAATATTGATTTAATATAATTCTAAACTATTACAGTAAATTATAACACCACACAAAATAATAATACACGAACAAAATAGGAAAAGTTAGGTTATGTCGTATGTAAATTGAAATAATTGAATTGAAATACTACGCAATCTGTTGAATACTTAAACAATCTAGAAATCTAGTTAACCATTGATTGATAAATTCTTAAATTAACAATAAAAAATAAAAATAATCGCGATTAAAATTATCCAGTGTACTAAATTTAAAAAAAAAATCACACAAAATACATCAAATTTCAGTAATTTCAAAATTCATTTTGAAAACCAACAATAGAACACTGAAATTTCATATATAAAAATATATCTATTGGTTCGTATTCTATTAGAATAAAACCCAAAGTTCCTTTATTTATTATTATTAATATTTCACTTGCATATAAAATAATTCTATTAACTAACACAATAAACATTATTAATACCACGAACTTTTGATTCACCCTAATAAACTGTAACTTTGAAGCAAACATTGTATCAAATAACCTAACCTAATTATCTAACCTAAAAGATTTTTGTATATCAAATTTCATAAAAAATGAGAGAAAGACAAATACCCAGTAATTTTTAGTATTTTTTGTTGTTCCTTTAACTTGTTCGTCAGGAGGTCGAGGTAAACCACCACCAGAGAGAAAGAGATGAATGATTATAATGATCATGATCATGATCTTGATCCTGATGATAATGATGATGATGATGATGTAATTGAAATACCAGACGAATGTGAAAATATCGAATATATTCTATTCATTTAATTCATTTTTTTTTAATCGAATGGACTATTAAATATTTATCGTTTCTAAATATGAAATATTATGAGATATTAATCGTGAGATTATGCGTAATAACAACTTGACATGGTGAATTACGGTTTGCATCTTTTTATCTAACCAGTTCTTAGAATTTCTACCTGCACCTTGCACTTGTAAGAAAATCTATGATTGTAACATAAAATCTGACCGGTAATATTCTAATCTCGAGGACATCAGAGGAGCAGTTTTATTGGTATATTATACATGCATGTATAATGAAAATGTTTAAAAATATCTCATCAGGAAATCGACTAGCTATTAAGGAAAATTCTTAACACATTTCTATGATTTCTAAGAATACAAAGAATCTCTTTAAAATCTCTTTTGTTTTTTCCAAGTCTTAAATAAAACCCCTTTCTAAAAATCATTCTTACCAAGGACAAACATTTTGCCCATGTAACTTTGAAGAAATCATTGGTGAATTCTAAAAAAACCTTTTGGCCTTTTGTATATATCCACATTCCTCAGTTTTTTTTTTTTTATAAAAATCTTTACAATTAGTCAGTTTGAAAAAGAACGGTTCGTTTCATCGCAAAGGGTTGATTATAAAAAGTTGAGAAAAAAATTTACAAATAAAAATTCTCAATCGTTTAATTAAATTTTATATTTTAAATTACCACAATCTGTTTTTCAAACATTTCCAGTATAAATAAAAAATATCTATTCCCCATTTGGTAATGGTAACTTTTTTTTATTAAGTTTTATATCACCAATCGATAAAGTAGATCGCGTAATTATCGATATGCGTAATTTTATCGATGGTTGGTTAATATTTTGTATTATTTATAAAACATTTGTCTCTTTGTAAATTAATTAAAACATTTTTTAAGCATTGAATCATTCGCATGAATTAATAAGATGTTTCTTTTTGTTTTTTCTTTTATAGAATACAAGTTTTTGACGTATACGCCTAGCATGGTAGCAGCTGCAAGTATCGCAGCAGCACTTCAGGGACTTGACTGGACCAAAAAGAGCGGTTTTGGAATTTCTGTTCTTCTCGAACACTTAACTAGCATCACAACTATCGAACAGGTTTGTCCACTCTCTTTTCAGGATTTAACGTTACTCGATTTAATTGTTTAAAAGTACCCGCCCATTCTCGAACTTGTAGTAGTAGATCGCCGCCATTTTGTAAATCAAGATGAGAACTAATACCGGTTATGTTTTACATATTAACATTTCTTAAACTTTATAACAATTTTAATCATTTTTAATTATAGAAATAAAATTAAATCTTATACGTGATTAATAATAATTGATTTATTCTAACCATAATCTGAATTTGATATAAAATAAGGTTAGTTTTTAAAATCGTGTTTAATTCAATATGGCGGACGTTTTTTTTTGAATGTAATCTTAAATTAGTATGGGTCGACCTTCGACCTCGGGACACACAAGTAGTTGCTTTAGAAAATTTATTATCAAAACGCTTTTTGTATGAGAATTGCGCTAGACATATGACAAAAAGTTGAACTCGAAATGGTTAGTGAGTAAGAGAGAGAGAGAGAGAGAGAGAGAGGAAGGAGGAATTGGAGGAGGGTTAAAAGAGAGTTAGTTGATTGGTTGGTTTGCAGGCAAATGAGTGTGTCGATGATGATGATGATGGTAAAGAGAGTAACAGCAGCAGCAGTAGCAGCAGGTGCCAGGCACATGTGCACGCAAAAAAAAGGTCGGCAAGATGGGACGATAGAGCGGAAAAGCTTGTAAGACTAAAACGGAAAAAGAAATAAAGAAATAATCAAAAAGAAAGAAAGAGAAAGAAAGATAGATGATATATATATATATATACACACATACACACATTTTCGTAATAAATATATATATATATATATATATATATATATATATATAAATAAACTGCACGAATGAATGGGCCTCGGCATGAGGTCCATGGCCTCTCA